AGATGGATGTACAGTTGGATGTACAGATGGATGTTGGATGTTGGATGCTTAGCTCATTATCTTTAGTTTTAAAGGAAGAACCAAAACAAAAACGAAGCAGAAACTTTATAAATTTCTCATATTTTTATGAATTTATTCATTTTGTTGAAACCGAATGTTCAGATTGGTTTTCCTTCTCCTGTCACCTGCACTCTTGACTCCTGCACAGATTACGCACCACTCCTAATCTGCTGTAATCCCTGAAGAAGCGGAGCCTCTCTGTGAGCCCCCCTCGCTGTAATCCTTCACGCAGACATGCTGCAGTTTGAAAACTCGTTGATTTTACATGGCAGCCTTAAAAACCATGAAACAGCTGAAAGTGTCGTGTTTGCAGTAAAGTTCCGTTGAAGTGGGACGGACTTTACGACGCTCTGGACCTGGGAGCATCTCTCCCTTTAATGTAGTTCGGATGGAGTGTGGATTAAACTTTATGGGGCCTGATGAGTGCGTGTGTCGGGCGTTTTTGTGTCGCTCACAGGTTGCCAGGCTCTCGGAGCAGCTGTTGTTGTCGTCCAGGCTGAAGAAGGGAGGCACGCAGGTGGGGGAGGCCAGGCCCTGGCTCAGGTAGGGGGCTCCGGGGTAGTACGAGTGCATTCGGTACTGAGAGGACACGTTGTGTCCAGACAGGCGTCCGTCTCCATGAGGCACCTGCTTCAAATGAAAAACGACAGCATTTATATGAGCAGGGGCCAAAATCTGTTTAAAAAAACAGCTCTGAAAAAGTTGAACTGCTGTCAGATTAAGACAGATTACATCATCTGCAAAGAGGTGATACATGGAAGAAGATGGAGAGGACATGGAGTGAGGACAGAGGACAGAGTGAGACGGAGGACAGAGTGAGACGGAGGAGGATGACTCGCTAGAGACTCCTGAAGGGGAAACTACCGAAAGAAGAAAAGGAAGGAAACAAAGAATAAAAATAAAAAAGAAGAGGAGGAGCAAGTTGGAAGAAGAAGAGGAAGATAAAAAATAAACTGCAAGAGGGAGACAAAGAATAAGAAAAAGAAGAGGAAGAAAAAAGAACAGCGAGAAGAAAAGGAAGAGGAACAGAAAGACAAAGAGAATGAACAGTAAGAAGAAGAGAAATAATGATAAGAAGAAGAGGAAGAAAAAAGAAGAGGAACAACAGCAGCAAGAAGAGGAAGAACAGCAGCCAGAGAGGAAGAAGAACAAGAACAAGAAGAAGAACAGAAGGAAGAAGAGGAGGAAGAACAAAAAAGAAGAGGAAGAATGATTTGTCTTCATTAAGACAGATTTTATTCCCAGTGGAACACAGTATAAATATTTAAACTAAGAAGCGGAACCATCTTTAGATTAAATCAATTTTAATCTGACGTCAGTTTGATGTGTTTTTTAAATCTCTGGGTTCAGTTTGGACTCAAGTTTAACTTTTTCAGATCTCGATCCTGAACCACAGGTTCGTATTTCCTAACCTTAGATCAGCAGAGCTCTCTGATGTTGGAAATAGTCAAATTTAGAATTAAAATAATCTCCAGGATTAACAAAAACTCCATCAGCTGTTTTAAAAACGATTTTTCTGGGTGGGGTCAACAAAGAACGGGTTCTAAATATTTAAAAAATTGACTAAACAAATGAGGTTTCATGTTTTAGAAGCTCATCTTTATATTTTTAACGAGATAAAATGTTTTAAATGTTTTTGTTTTGCTGAACTCCTTGAATTTTTATTTTGGTTTTCTGTTGAAGAGGATCTGTCAGATTTGCTGCTCGGCCTGTTTCTGTTTATAAAAATATCCACGTGCACCAAAGATCAGACATCACTTTGACGCTTTACGAGTTCATTTCTTGTGACGTGTCCACGTTTGACGCGAACGTCGTCGTTGTCCGACCCGCTCGTGCTCTTCGACCTCCCGAGGGTTCCGAGGCAACGCTCGGGCTGTGTCCGTGCCGGAGCGTCTCCTCGGGAACTTTCAGAAGGAGTCGGCACCGAGGCCGCCTCACTCAGGGTTTTCAATTTCATTTTTATGGAATTTGATTTCTGTCAGCCTGTAATCTGTCAGCCGTATTGTCCACACCATCAGCTCGGCGACAGCTTTATAAACCGTTATTTAAGCTACACTCAACTCCTGGATTGGGCTGTGAAAAATACAGCCCAGTCCTGAGAGTGCTTATGGTTCCCACAGCAGTAAGACTGGCAAACTGGGAAAGTTGCTCACAAACAAGTTTTTATTCCAGTTTACTGAGGGTTTCACCGCCGGGGTCGCGGAACAACACGCTTCAAGTTTCAGTTTGAGTCCGTATAAATATTTTATCGTTTAGTGGTGATCAGTGGTTCAATCCAGCTGCTCGCTGAGAAGAGGGAGAACGAGGCTCCACTAACTCCTGAGAATATCAACGTTCATGCTCAGTAATCCAGGTCAAAAATCCAGCAAAGTTAAGTCAGCTCCTCTGAGATGTTTCGTCTTTCATCCAAAAGACTTCTTCAGTCCAGGGAGCCACAACAAACTCAGTCTTATAAATAGTGGTCAAACATGGTTTCTGGAGCCTGCTGAAGTTTTACCTGGATTATTGAGCTTTGATGTTTTGAACCACTTCATCCATGGCTGCCTCAGAGGAGCCTCCGAGGGAGAGGGCGAGCTCCAGAAACCACCAGAGCACCGACTGGTTGACCCACTCTGTGAAGGTGCTATTTATAAGACTGAGTTTGTTGTGGCTCCCTGGACTGATGAAGCCTTTTGGACGAAGGACGAAACGTCTCGACAAGAAGAAACCGTCCAGAGGACCTGACTCAACTTTGTTGGAACTCCTGAAAATGTTGCACAATTCGTGGCTTTAAAAGAAACGAGTGGTAGAAAGGTCTGAAAACACTAAACATAACGACAAAGTTGCAACACTGTTTGTACTTTAATCACTTGTGTGTGTGTGTGTGGGGGGGGGGACTATAATGCCACTTGAATTGGTGATATGTGACTTTGTGCTGCTGATTATCCATGCTGCTGATCTCTTGCCTTTATGCTGCTGTGTTCATACCCGTCTGCTCACAACAGACTCATGTTCGGGCTGCTGTTTAATACACCTTAATATTGTACATCATTAGTGTTTAGCGTGTTGTTTATTTGAGATCGTTTAGCGTATATCTTAATTTATATCTTAGATCCTTAAATACCGTTTCTTTTTATACTTTATATTTTTGCTATTTTTGAGTGTACTGTATTTTTTGGACTATAAGGCGCATTAAGCAAAACAAAACAGTCAAACTTTATTCAACTTATTCACAATAACCACATAAATCAGTTTGAGGTCAGTGAGCACAACTGGAATTAATAAGTCGCAGCTGATTATAAGGCTCACTGTTGATTTTTGAGAAGATTAAAGATTTTAAGTGCAACTTATAGTCTGAAAAATACGGTAACTGGGACTTTGTGTACACAGTTTTGTTCCACCTCATGTACCACATGTGATGTGAATGACAATAAAGAAACTTGACCTTTGAACCTGCGTGACTTCCTCTCTGAGTCTGGCAGCTGATGCTAGTAATATTTAGCTGGTTGTTAGCCTCAACGTTTGTAGAAACGTTTCGTCTTTCATCCGAAAGACTTCCTCAGTCTTCGGATGAAAGACGAAACGTTTCTACAATTTTATTTTATTTTTTTATATGTCCAGAGGATCAGATTGAACTTTTTTAGATTTGTCTACCTGGATTATTGAGCAGCATCAGGATACCTTGAACCATCGTGTAAAGTATAAATGTGGATTAAACCTCATAACTTACCAACACTTCATGCAGATATTGAGCAGTTCCTGATTCTACAGCCTGTGTTTGGTGCCTCTTATTAATTATTATCAATCAATCAACCTTTATTTATACAGGTAAATCCCATTGAGCCTCGAGGACTCATTTACAAGAGAGACCTGATTTCAACAAAGAAAGATGACAACAATGGACAACAGCAACAACAATAAGCAGTTATAAAAACTCATAATACCGTTTTTTTTTTTTTTTTTTTTTTCTTTTTTTTTTTTTAACAAATAGGATGGCTAAAAGGAAAAAGGTAACAAAACCAAAAAAACAGCTAGATTCCAAGACAAATGTATAAAACTAAAAACAGGAACATGTCAGCATTGGACCCTGCCAGGAGTCCAACAGATTCTTAAAGCCACTTAGAGTGGTCAAGGTCGAGAGCTTCAATTCTTTTTGTAAGATATTCCAGGAAACAGGAGCGGAGTAGGAGAAGGCCCTTTTGCCTAGTTCAGTCCTCACTGAGGGAACACTGCAGGTAATAATGTCCTGAGAGCGCACTCCGTAGCTGCACTCACGCAGAGACATGTAGGAGGAGATGTATGAAGGCAGCAGACCAAGAAGTGATTTAAAGATGAAAATGTACCAGTGGGAGAGTCTGCGTGAAGTTAATGATGTCCAGTTAACCAATGAATACAGGGTGCAGTGGTGGGTACGATAATCACAGCCAGTTATGAATCTTAGTGCACCATGATAGACAGCATCCAACATCTGCAGGGTTCTTGTAGGAGCGTTCATGTAAATAATATCACCAAAATCAATTGAGGGAAGGAAAGTCACAGATACAAGGCGTTTTCTAGCATTCAGGGTTAGACAGGATCTGTTTCTGAAAAAGAAACCCAGTTTAATTTTCAGTTTCTTTACCAAGTTTTCCACATGGAGCTTAAAAGAAAGATGTGAGTCGACCAAGATACCCAAATATTTATAGGAATCAACAAACTCAATGGGGACACCATTTGAGGATAAAATCGGAGGAAGAACTGCTGGGACCAACTTCCTATTTGAAAAAAGCATCCCTTTGGTTTTTTCGGCATTTAGGACAAGTTTGAGGTGAAACAAATCAGTCTGGATGTAGTTAAATGCAGATTTCAGAAGCTGAAAAGCCTTAGCAACAGTTTTAGCTCGACAATAAACAACTGTGTCATCAGCATAGAAATGTATGGATGCATCAGGGATGGTTTTACCTACATTATGTATGTAGATTGTAAAGAGGGTGGGTCCTAAGACTGAGCCTTGTGGTACACCATTGTTGACTGTTAAATAACTGGAGGAAGTACCATTATGTTGAACACATTGCCTCCGGTCTGAAAGATAGTTAGAGAACCAACCAATGGTGTGATCTGAGAAACCGATTTCTGAGAGTTTATGACACAAGATGTTCTGATCCACAGTGTCAAAAGCTTTAGACAGGTCTAAGAAAAGTGCAGCACAATAATCTTTAGCATCCAGTGCTTCAACAACGTCATTAAGAACCTTCAGTGAAGCAGTGGTTGTGCTGTGTTGTTTCCTGAAACCAGATTGATGTGGAGGTAAGATGTTAAATGAGTCCAGGTAATTTTTGATTTGAGAGTTTATCAGTTTTTCTAGAACCTTGGCTAAAATGCAGAGTTTAGAGATTGGTCGATAGTTGTTCAGTGAGGTGGGGTCACCTCCCTTCAGCAAAGGAAGAACAAAGGCTGTTTTCCAAGTGTCTGGGATGGAGTTTTGTCTTATGGAGAGATTGAAGATGTGGGTCACAGGGACTGTGATGATATGAGCAGCCAGCCTTAAGAAATAAGGTGGAAGTTCATCTGGACCTGCAGATTTTTTAGGATCAAGATCTTTTAACAGTTTATTGACCTCACTGACTGAGAATGGAGAAAAAGAGAAGCTGTGATTAACTGAGGATTGACTT